AGGCATATTTATACTTTTTATTTTTCAAAATACCAAACAGATCATGCATTTTAGCCATTCCTCATTTCTCTCAATTTAACACTGTCTTTGCATCATGGGCTGATTCTGTGAGAACAGCACCACCTACAGGCCTGGCATGTGTACTACAGCGTCTCCAGCGCTTTCCAACGGCAATGTCCGTGGCTGTCTCCTCCTGATTGGTGGAGTTGGCCCAATAGCCGTAGCGCCACTTCTGTGACGTCATAGAAGTGTTCAAATCTGGATCAGTCTGTATCAGATCCGTTACAGCCCCTTTTTAAGAGATTTGGGTATGGAGGAAAAGAGAGAGGGTTGTGTTTTCTGACACTTGGTGAGTTCCCTGGAACACCGGGGACACATGTTCATGTAGAAAAGACGTACAAGGGTGCATTTTGCATGATAGGTCCCCTTTAAATGAAGCTCCTATGGACGATCTGATGCCCCATTCTCCTTCAAGATATCTGCTTCAAAATGTGGATTTACTTCAGATTTTAGCCCGAGCATCACAGATAAATCTCACCCTATAATTAAATGAATCTTTCTACCACAGTGATCTGAATCTGTGACGTTTCAGCGCGAGGGAGGGATGAGAACGTTCTGGTGACTTCTGCCCCTCATCACCACCACGGATCGATCCTGTGAGTTTCAGATAGACGCTCTCCAATTACCACCGGGACGTTCTTGCTACAGCGTGTTCTGTGATGCTCGTGCTAAAATCTAAAGTAAATCCACATTTTGAAGGAGTTTTGGAGCTTAGTTTGAATTCTGACCTAACAATGTTGATAAAACTCATTTGTCAGATGGTAACAAACAAACCAGATATTATTGTTGATCAGTGAGCTTAGCTGCAGCTAGTTTACCATTTAGTGATTTTAACCCCGAGCTATGCTAGCTGTTCCCACCCGTTTCCATTGTTTACGCTAAGCTGCGCTAACCACGTGTAATAATAATAAGTAACATTTATAGCGTTTTTCTGGGACTCAAAGTCGCGTTACAATTGCCCTGAATGCCCTGTGTGCCATCCAGTGCTCACAAACAACAAAAACATACAAATGGGCACAACAGTATTTGTTATCGCTCTGTCTGCATGATGGTTTCTTTATGAACAGCTGAGGACGATCCGCTTCACATGAATGAATCTCGCTAGACATCAGACCGCTGACGGAGGGAAGTGGAGATATTCTTACTTTAAAATCCTTTCAGAAACTTTCTGTGTATTTTTAAGATGAAACAAGTTCCTAAACAAGCCGCCATGTTTGTAGTTTTGTGGTCGTTCCGGACTAAAGATATACATGTCTCATGAGTCATAAGACATGTATATCTGCAAGAGGATTTTTATATAATTGTATTCAATAACCACAACCAAATTAAACAGTATGAAGTGATTTGTAAATATGAATACAGATTTGACGAAATGTTTTCAGAAATATATTTTTCTCAGTGAAATTGGCACGGGACTTATTTTTTACGCTCTCAAAGAACCGGAATCGAGAACTGAAAATAACCGGAATCGAAAAGCAAAATTGGAATCGTTAAAATGCAAACGATACCCAATCCAACATGGAGTGGAAACTCCTGATTTAAAGGCCCAATCCAAAACCACGCCCTACGCCCTACACCCTAACCCCTACACACTCCCCCTCCGTGATGGAGTGAACTCCGTGGAGTGACACATGAGGCTCCCTCCTGTCAGATGGAGGGAGTAAATACAGCAGCAAGCTTTGGGACGGCCTCCCCTCTCTCCCAAATCAGCATCTCAGACAAAAAATGTAAATTAATAACTCAAATAAAACTCCAAACATCTTTCATTGTGTTTCAAAGTTCTTTTAGTTTTAAACCTGATGTTTATAAGCTTCTTAGTTTTTGCAACGGTCTGTAAATATACACAACTTTATAATAAAATGCACACATTTACCTTTTTCTAGACTAAACACAGGTATGATCCTAAGTTAAAACATGAGGTTATCATGAGGTTGTTAACATCGCAGTTTATCAGTGGATGTTTGCTGGAACTACTTGTTAACAGCTTGTTTCCTGACGGACACACACAGCGTGACTCCGGTCAGGTAGAGACCGGTCTCAAGTCAGCACCGCTGCAGACTCGCTGTTTGAGGGCTTGATAGCCCACTCCCCCTCCACACCGCTCCACACTCGTTGCTTTGGGACAGGACTTAATGTGGCGGACGGGTAGTGTGTAGGGGTTGGTTTGGGATTGGGCCGTTGTGTGTAGGGGTTAGGGTGTAGGGGCGGTTTGGGAGTGGGCCGTAGTGTGTAGGGGTAGTGTGTAGGGGGCGGTTTGGGAGTGGGCCGTAGTGTGTAGGGGGCGGTT